GTGGTTCAAATTGATTATTTGTTGTCAGTAGCAATCAGTATTGATGGGTCAAGGAAGCTCATAATACACCACACCTTCCTGATCCCACCAAATGCAGAGCCTTGTCTTTCCGAAGCCATCGATGTTGATGATTGACCTGGATTAACCCATGATTTTGTACATTCTCAAAATAAATCCACTTATCATTGCCAGTCACAATTTGATGCAAAAAAAGCCTTTCTTTCATGCCGTTGAAGCAAAATTTTACTGATAACTTTTTAGTTTTCCATTTGTCTTCTGTTCAGTTGATGTGGCACCCACTTTCCTTCCTTTAAAATCTTTCCCATTGCTTGTAAATGGTCAGAAATTGTTTGCTGAGCAACATTTAATCTTTCTGCAAGTTGTTTTTGAGTTTGACATGCATCTTCATTCAATAATGGTTGTAATTGTTGCTCTTCAAACTTTTTCGGTTGACCTGGATATTCTCTGTCTTTCACATTGAAATCATCACTTTTGAAGTGTTTAAACCAGCATTCACGAGTATCTTGAGATGGAGCATGTTCACCATAAGCTACCCAAAGTATACAATAACTTTTTCTTCAAAATAAAGTAATGAATTAAAACTTCCTCCAGCCGGCACCGGTTTGGCTCAGTGGATAGAGCGTCTGCCTGTGGACTGGAAGGTCCTGGGTTCGATTCCGGTCAAAGGCATGTACCTTGGTTGTGGGCACATCCCCAGTAGGGGGTGTGCAAGAGGCAGCTGGTCGATGATTCTCTCTCATCGACGTTTCTAACTCTCTATCCCTCTCTCTTCCTCTCTGTGAAAAATCAATAAAATATATTTATAAAAAATAATAAATAAATAAATAAATAAATAATTTAAAAAAATAAAACTTCCTCCAAATGCTCTTTTTTTGGGGCCACAAAATTTGACATTTTTAAGCATAAAAATATTTATGATGTTAATACCTTCACCAAATTTGACATATGAAGTTTTGAAGCTTGCTGTCGGTACAATAAAATAGCATACCTATAAAATCGCATATATATCAACATATATAAACTCCATCTATTGAAAAAAAAATCCACATTATTAACTGGTACACCTAGTGAAATATTAATTAAATAATCCCAATTAATTTGTATTTTATTTTGGAATGTACTTTGATTCTTAGGAAATGAGCGTATCTGAATTTATACTTCCAAGTATCTATCTTGAAACTACAATATGATGCTTCCACTTGGAAGAAATTAGAAAACTTATTCTTTTTATCAGACCTCCATCTTAGTCTTTGCTGCTTCAGATTTTTTACTTGGGGTGGATAAGGAACCTCAGACTGATGCAGACCTGCCCAACTTGAATCAGTCTCTCTTTCAGGCTTATTGGCTCACAAACTTTGATTCATGAACTGGGCTGAGACAAAGAAGTAAAGTGATTTTTATTTAATTTATTTAAATATATTTTTATTGAAAGACATTTTCTGATGACCCATTGGAAGTATTTTCAGTTGCTAAAGTTAAATGCTACCATATAATTCAACCATCATGAAGGTCCCCCTCAAACTTTTCCTGTTAGTTCCTACTAGGCCACAGGATAGGTGGGTCTTTCAACAATAGAGGAGAAAATGTCAGTAAGAAATAAAAACAAAACAGGAATAAATTTTAGACAGAATTATTAGGGTCTTTACCAGAGTGGGCTTAGTTGGTCGAGCATCATCCCATGCACTGAAAGGTTACTGGGTTGATTCCCAGTCAGGGCACATGCCCAGGTTGTGGGTTTGTTTCCCAGTTGGGGTGCCGTACAGGAAGCAATCAATTGATATTTCTCTCTCACATCAATGTTCTCCCTCTCTCTTTCTCTATCTCTGACTCCCCCATCATTTTTCTAAAAAAAGCAATAAAAACATATTTTAAAAACTATTAGAGAATAAAGCATTAAGTGAGTTCTTGGAAGGAAAACATGTTTTAAACCTTAAATTATTACTAATACTAACAACAAATTCTTTAGAATTATTTTTGGATTTTAATGTTCTAACAAGTATGCAACTCAACAAAAACATTTGAATGATTCTTATTGGAAAGAGATTTAGTGTTGTTGGAAAAGTAACCTTAGAATTAGTGTGTTGGAATTCTCTTCTCATCTTCAAACTCGGGTTTAAGTTATATGATGTCATGACCAAGAGAACAAACTTTTATGCTAGGAATATTAAGATCCTAATTTAAGCTATAGGTTCAGCATTTATAAATTTTATAATTTTGGGCCAGCTATTGAACTTACCACTTTGAACCTCATTTTTTCCATTTGTGTTACTACTAGTGTCATCATATTTTCATTCTACTATGAGAAAGTCATTTCTTTTCCCATGTCCAATTTTACTTTTTCCATCTTTAAAATACGAATAGTAGCTTTTCATCCCAAGCTTTTTAAATATTTATTGGTTGATTTGAGAGAGAGAGAGAGAGAGAGAGAGCGAGCGCGATTTGTTGTTCCACATATTTATGCATTCATTGTTTGGACTCTTGTATGTACCCTGACCAGGATGGAACCCTCAACCTTGGTGTATCGAGATGATGCTCTGACCAACTGAACTATCTTGCCAGGGCACCCAATCTTCATGTAGGAATATGAGATTAATTGATTTCAAGAATGTGAAAACTTTACTAATATTATAGATTCAGTTATCATTTTATTCATACTATTATTTAAAGGATGCTTTTGCTTCCTGTAAGGAGGGGGGAAATTCCATCAGGAAAACAAAAGTACCCATTATGTGGAGGCATTAATAAATTGCTCAGTTATAAATAAAACTTAGTATCTTGACTCTAACTGGAAATTAGAGTGTGAACAGTTGAATTGTGTGTTTGTTTGTTTGTTTTTTGCTTTTTTTTTAAGGAAAAACTCTGTTCTGGGGCCTGGGCTTCTTTCCCTGTTCAAGTGCTTTGTGTCTGACAATTTTCTGTATTGATTCATTGAAATGAAACTTTCATTAGACAGGGTATTGCCATTCTAAGATAATTTTTCTTTTTATAGGTAAAGGAATAGAGCTAGAAAAGAAAGGTTAATGTAATGTGTTCAATACCATGTTTGGATTGACAGTACATGTACTGAGTTTCTAGTCCTATTTCTAGTTATTCTAGTGGATATTGATTGGTAAATGTCTTTGGTTGTCAGATTGACTGTGGGGTGTAACTGGCATTTAGTGCCTAGAAACCAAGGATGTTAGTCAACAGTTTGATAGGTGGTCCCACAGGAATAATTGACCCATTCAAAATATCAATTGCCTTACCTTTGAAAAATATTGGCTTCCCACCTGGGTTTCTCCCCGGGCAGTCATGTTTCCTTTCACTAATTCCCTTTTCTTATAGAAAATTTTTTAAAACTATTAAGCATGTGATCAAGTCAGTTCTCTGGCAATAACCTTGTTTTGTTGGGTTGTTTTTTGTTGGCATGTTGGTGGGAAAGGCTGGGCAAGAATCCTTCCGTTCTATCACCCGTTCCTACTACAGGGGAGCAGCTGGCGCACTGCTGGTGTACGACATCACAAGGTGAGTCAGATCTGGTGGGTGGGAGCGAGACTCTTTGTTCTCAAAATTGGAATGCTAGAGAGGAATGGCATCTTAATGTTGTTCTTTACACATGTATCTTTTCTCCTTTTCCCATATATTTGGAATTTCTTTGGCATTCAGGTCCACTTTCTAAACTTTTCTTTTGTAGGCGTGAAACCTTCAACCACCTGACCTCATGGTTAGAGGATGCCCGGCAGCACTCCAGTTCCAACATGGTCATCATGCTGATTGGGAATAAATGGTAAGTTTTTATTCGAATAGATAATAAACACCAACAGTCATCTGGGTACTCTGTGGGCACTGAATCATTTGGTCCCCAAACTCTTTTAGTTTCTGGTGCTCTTAGTATCTCAGTGAAAAAAGTTATTGTGGTAAAATATATATAACATAAAATTAACAATTTTAATCATTTTTAAGTAACAGTTCTGTGGCATTACGTATGTCCATGTTGTTCTATAACCATCACTACCATGTATCTCCAAGCTTTATTATCTTCTCAAGTCGAAACTCTGTTCCCATAAAACACTAACTCCACATTCTTATCCCATTAGCCCCAGCAAATACCATTCTTTTTTCTGTCTCTAAGAGTTTGACTACTCTGGGCATCTAATGAAAGCGGAATTGAATCCTTTTGTGACTGTGGCTTATTATTTGTATTGATTTTTAGAGAGAGGGGAAGGGGAGAAGAGAGAGAGAAACATTGATTTGTTGGTCTACCCATTTATACATTCATTTATTGTTTCTTGTATGTGCCTTGATTGGGAATCAAACCCCCAACCTTGGTGTATCAAAACGATGCTCCAATCAACTGTGCTACTCAGCCAGGGCTGACTGTGGCTTATTTCATTTAGCATAGTATCCTCCAGATGCATCTATATTTCCTTCCTTTAAAAAAAAAAAAAAAGTTTATTTATTTACTTATTTAAAAATTTTTTTTACTTTACTTTTTCCATTTATCCCCTCTATGCCCTCTTCCACCTCCACCACCCCTCCTTTCTTTTTTTTTTTAAGGCTGAATAGTAGTATTCCATTGAATTTATTTACCACATTTGGTTTATCTATTCATCCACTGTTAGATACTTGGGTTGCTTATACTTTTTGGCTTTTGTAAATAATGCTACAGTCAACATGGGTTTACAAATACCTGTTTGGGTTCCTGGTTTTTATTATTTTGGGTGTATACCCAGAAGTGGAATTGCTGATCTCATGGTAATTCTGCATTCAATTTTTTGGGGTACTGCCATACTGTTTTCCATAATGGCTATACCGTTGACATTTCTACCAGCAGAGCATAGAGTTTGGGTTTCTTCGCATCTTCCCCAACGCTTGTTATTCTCAGTAAATTTTCTATGACACCCATAAGCCAAAAGAAATGCCTAGCAGTTTTATTATTAAATGATTAGATCTAAACAACATAAAAATTATTTTTGTTATAACAACTTAATAACTGAGAAGTGAAAAACATATGCAGTGCCTTAAGATGCTAACATAGAAGGATAAAAAGAAAATCTTGATAAAACCCAAAAAAAAGATGGTAAAATTCCCCTTTGGATCCTATCTGGAGTCGCAGCTAGGAAAGAAAAAAAAAGAAAGAAAAAAAAGAAAAAAAAAAGAAAGAAATGAAAAACATAAATTAAAACCATTTTTAGCCGAAGCCGGTTTGGCTCAGTGGTAGAGCGTCGGCCTGCGGACTGAAGGGTCCCAGGTTCGATTCCGGCCAAGGGCATGTACATTGGTTGCAGGCACATCCCCAGTAGGGGGTGTGCAGGAGGCAGCTGGTCGATATTTCTCTCTCATGGACTTTTCTAACTCTCTCTCTCTCTCCCTTCCTCTCTGTAAAAAAAATCAATAAAATATATTAAAAACAAACAAACAAACAAAAAAACCCACACCATTTTTAAATAATCATAATTACTTATTAATGACCTGTGCTTCTCAAACCTTGGAATCAAGATTGACACTGTCATTCTCACTCCTTGTTCCAAATTGATTTTTGTACAGTACTGGCCTTTTTTTTTTTTTTTTTTTTTTTTTACAGAGAGAAAGAGAGAGGGATAGAGAGTTAGAAACATCAATGAGAGAGAACCATCAATCATCTGCCTCTTGCACACCCCCCACTGGGGATGTGCCCGCAAACAAGGTACATGCCCTTGACTGGAATCAAACCCGGGACCGTTTAGTCCACAGAGCGACGCTCTATCCACTGAGCCAAACCAGTTTCGGCAGTACTTGCTTTTTATCACAGCAGCTGTCAAAAACTTTTTACAAAGAGATGAAGATATTAAACGGCATCTATTCTTTTTTTATTTTTTTTTAATTTTTATTGATTTCAGAGAGGATAGAAACATCAATGATGAGAGAGAGCCATTGATTGGGATTGATAGGCTGCCTCCAGCATGCCCCCAACTGGGGATCGAGCCCACCACCCAGGCAGGTGCCCTTGACAAGAATTGAACCTGGGACCCTTTAGTCTGCAGGCCAACGCTCTATCTACTGAGCCAAACTGGCTAGGGCTAAACGGAATCTATTCTGATCTAATGTTGACTCTGTGAACTATCGTTAGCTTGTAATTCACACAGTGTTCTTATATTGAATATTGCTGTGTTTCCCACAAACATTTGAAGTATCCTTTGGCGCCTTTCTGAGTTTGTAGTAGCTCCAAAATTGCACCATTTAAGAATTGGCCACAGACTAATTGTACTCATTTATTGGGTTATTCAGTTTTATGGAAAACCTACTATGTCCTAAACACTGTGCCAGACCTTGGATGTACAAGGTAAAAAAAAAACCAGCACAAAACTCATGCCCATGCTCCTATGGAGTTTAGTAAAAGGCGAAAGATTTATGCGATCTGAAGAGAAACCAGAGTTTCTATGGAGTTTAGAGGAAACAAAGATATTAAATTTAAATTATCTATGTCTAATTACAAAGTATGACAAATTCATTGAAGGGAAAAAAAGGACTGCTATAAAAGAGAGGAACAAACTAAATATTTTTTTTTATTAAGAGTAATATTTAAGTTGGAATATGAAGGATGGGTAAAAGTTATTTAACAAAGACTTAAAAACAACAATAAAATAGCCTGGGCGGGTGGCTCAGTTGTTTGGATCATTATCCCGTAAACAAAAAGATTGCAGGTTCAATACCTGGATTTCAGGTTCAATCCCCTGGGTTTGTACAGGATGCAAGCAATCTATGTTTCTCTCTCACACTGTCCCCTCTCTCTCTCTCTCTCTCTCTCTCTCTCTCTCTCTCTCTCTCTCTCTCTCTCTCTCTCTCTCTCTCTCCTTCCTCTTTCTCTAATTAATTAAACACACACACACACCACAAACATATCCTTGGTTGAGGATTAAAAAACCACACACAGTTCAAGCCCGGACAGTGTTGTTTAGTGGTTGAGCCTTGATCCATGAACCAGGAGGTCACAATTTGATTCCCCATCAGGGCACATGCTCAGGATGCAGACTTGATCCCTAGTAGGAGGGCATGCAGAAGGCAGCTGATAGATGTTTTTCATTGTTGTTTCTATCTCTCCCTCTCCCTTTCCCTTCCTTTCTCTGAGACCAATAAGAACATTTTCAAAAATTAAAAACAATACCCCCAATCTCACCCAGATTTAGAGAGGGAAAACAAAGTGTGTGAAAGCCTCAATTGGAAGAAACTATGCAAATGATGGTATTGAAAGAAACTGGTGTGGCTGGATTGAATCAAGGGGGAACATATCAGATGAGGCTCAAGGATCAGATCTAGCGGCATTTACAGGCCTTAGTAAGGAGTTTTGATTTTATTATAAACACAATGGGAAGCATTTAAGCAGAGAAGTGACTTGATAAGATTTTAAAAGATTTCTCTGGAGGGGAGCAAGGGTTGAAGTGGGATCTCAGTGGCAGTACTTTGGGTGAGAGAGAATGGTGGCTTGGAGTAGGGTGATGAAGGAGAGAAAGAAAAGAATTTTAAGATACGTTTTGGAAGCACCTCGCTGTGGAATGGATAGGGTATTTGGAGTGAAGGAGGGAAAGGTGTTAATTAAGGTATTTTGGTTTTGCCTTGTGCCATTTACTGAGATGTGGAAGCCTGCAGCAGAAGCAGGTTGGGAGAAAAATATCAAGTTCCATTTTGATGTAAGTTTCAAGTTCCTTTTACACATCAGAGTGGAAGTGAAGAACAGGCAAATGGACAAACAGGCCTGGAGCTTAGAGGAGCATCTGGACTAGAACAATAGCTTCGGAGTGTTGGCATTTAGATGGATAGTTCTTCCCTGATCTTATACAGCTGATGAACAAAAAATATACATTTTGTAGATTTGTTGTTCTTTAATGGACTTCCTGATTTTTTTTTCATGATTGGAATACTAGAAACCTCCTAAATGAAAATTTCTAATTTAAAAAGTAAAAGTCTATCCTTACCTTATTTTACAGCCTTTAATTCTGACTTTCCTAAAGTTTTTCCATGTGACTCTTCATTCCTTTCTAAGGCTTTTGATCTATTCTCCTGCCCCCATATTATCCAGTTTTATAATTTTTTCTGAATCCCTCACTTACCTGATGGCAAGCTGCTGTTGTACATGTTAATAACGAGACTAGTGAGAGCTGAGAGTTAAGGCACCTGTGTTCTTATTCCTGGCTTTCTCTCTTCTTGCGAATTGGTTCCAGTAAAGGAGGGAGAAACTCATTACGATGGGATGGGACATCTATGACCTTTCTCCTTTCTGACAACTGGAATTTCCCATTCATCTTCTTTCCATTGCTTCCACCGGATCTCATTTGAAAAAAGCACAGGGCATAAGCTAGAGTAGGGGTGTCGAACTCAATCAGAGAAGGGGCCAAAATCTAAAATCCAGCCTAAATCGCGGGCCGAATGGTTTACTGAACAGTCATAAACTGTCATTGTGATGGAAACGCAGCGGAGTGCAGTGATGACAGCGCGGTGCGGGCCACATTGCAAGGCCTGGCGGGACGGATTTGGCCCGCGGGCCTTGTGTTTGACACATGTGAGCTAGAGCAAGTATGAGCTTGTGTAACCATTTATAAACCCTATTCTCTGTAATGGAGTAAGATATTATCCTCAACCATGCAGCAGCCACCATGGATCTGGAGCATATTTTCCAAGACACCACAGAAATCGGTAATCCTATAAATGTCATGTAGGATCTATATTCCTTATGGATTAACTGGCAGCTGAAACAGTTATGGGATGCTTTTAGGACGAGAGTTTTTTAAATTTGGATTTTGCTTTCACTTGCAGTGACTTAGAGTCCCGCCGGGATGTGAAGAGAGAGGAGGGGGAGGCCTTCGCCCGGGAGCACGGACTGATCTTCATGGAAACCTCAGCCAAGACAGCCTGCAATGTGGAGGAGGTGCTGTTTGAGAGACTATATCATCGCACCTTGTCCTTTTATCCAGAGACATGGCTACAGAAAGAATGTTATGTGGTCAGATTGTCTCCTTTAAGGGAATCACCCCATTTCTTTACTTTGATTTCTAAGGTTTTATTTCTGCTTTGGGTAACATTAATTGTAAGCTTAATGTTACTTGTAAATTACTTTAGCTGGAGAGTCTCATGGGTTGTGCTGTAATCATTCCTCAGCCTGGTGTTGACTGTATCAGTTAAGAAGAGAGCCTGTTTGCCAACCAAGGAACATCTTGGATCAGTACCAAAATACCATATAATTCCTTTTTTTCTTTTTAAAACTATTCACAATGGCTTTTACAGGGACTGTGGGGGACCTTTACATTTTTTACTCTATTTTTCTAATGGTTCCTAATACATTTTATTTATTTATTTTTTAATCCTCACCTGAGGATATTTTTCCCATTGGTTTTTAGAGAGAGTGGAAAGGACATGGAGAGAGAGAAACAGTAATTGGTTGTCTTCCGCATGCCCCTGACCAAGGGCTGGGAGCCTACAACTGAATTACATGTCCTTGACCGGAATCGAACCCAGGAATCTTCAGTCCACAGGCTGATATGCTCTATCCACTGAGCCAAAGTGCTAGGGCTCTAATTCACTTTAGAAAATCAAATAGGAGTACTATTTGTATTGTCTTTTCCTTATTTTCCTACCTAAATTGGAGCCTAATAATATAATTTATGTCTCCTTTAGGCCTTCATTAACACAGCCAAAGAAATATATAGGAAGATCCAGCAGGGTTTATTTGATGTCCACAATGAGGTGAGAAAGAGTGGGGTGACAAATTTGCTTTGTCTTAAATGCTGCAGTGAGCTCCCTAGAACATAAGCATCCACTATCATTATACTAGTTGAAGCTCTGCCAATTCATACTTGTTGTTTTTTTATGTAGGTGCATAGTAACCTGTCATTTTCTGTATTTGTTTATTTTTTGTTGTTGTTTTCTCAAATCTGAGACCTAGAATGCTTCAAGTGATTTTATTAGTTGGTGATCTAAAAAGCTTATACAGTATGAGAGTTTTTTTTCTCAACCTCATTTCTTTACTATTTCGGTGCTTGAGAGAGGTATAATACTTAATTGCTCAGCAGGGCCATTATATAAAGCAAGTTTTGGGGCAAAACATAAAATAATTATATACTTATATACTACTTCTACTCTTTTGC